CGTCCTTTGCCTCAGGCCCAGTCCTCCAAACCTGTCACTTTGATTCTGAGTCATATCCCTGGGACCCATGGAGACAAAATTCTCCAGTAACACTTCCTTCAGCTATTAACCTTTCCTCTTCCTCGCAAGGATCTCACCCTGCCTATGTTTTTGATTACTCAACTGACCAAAAATGCTTAGTCATTGTAAATGTAGATAGATATATGAGTACTTTTACCTAGAACGTCCTGGTCATGATTGTTGAAACTTGAAAACCAACAAAAAAAATCGTTTGACAGGAGCAGTGTCGGAGGGGCTCTTCCCCGGTCGCACTGTTACTTCCCTCGCCTTACTAGAAATACGTGTTTAACTGTTAAATGTGGAGTCGAATTGGGTGCTTTCACCTTGGAGCTCATCCAAGGAAGTTTAATTACCAAAGAGGCCAAGCAGCGCAGAATAGCAGGAGGAAAAAGCCCAACACAAAATTGGACTTGGCGGTAACAATACAAATGATAGTAATCACAGCTAATATTTCTCCAGCACTTGCTCTTGCCAGGCTAAGTGCTTTGTACCAATTATCTCATTTAGTCCTCAACTCCATGCAGTCAACAATGCGGTGGCATCCGAAAGTCACCCAGCCAGCAAGTGCGTGAGCCGTTATCTGAAAACAGGCAGTGAGGTTCCAGGATCCGGCTCTGGGCCTTCATCAAGGGGCCGGTTCTGGGAGCAGCCCCGACCCCAGTGGTGGTTGGACCTTGGAGGATTGCTCACCAAATCTTTACGCACCTCAAGTTTCTCATTTGCAAAATGAGGGATTTCACCCACAAAAACTCGTAAGGCACTCTCGTCTACAAGGCTGTCTTGCTGATGAACCCTACCGTCAGGGTAACAGAGAAGTATGATGACAAACTGTCATTCCAAAAATTCAGATCGGAATACATCAGAAATCATGTTAAACATTTCTATCCCTAAAACAAAACTTGGAAATGCCATCTGGTGAGTCGATGAATAAGTAAATTTGTACATGACTATTTGAAGAATAGAAATAATATTTAGTGAAATAAAGATAACCCTGAAATATTGATAAATTAAATGTAAAAAGTACCAAGGAGCAGCTGCAATAATTATGTCTTATTTCTGAATTTCTTTATCATTTGATTACTTTTTAAGTATGCCGCTATAGGACAGAGGCTTCAAGATAGTTCTAATAACTATTTCAAACTGTTACAATGTTTTATTTCTATTGAAATTATATCTTAAAATGGAATTCTTAATAATGTTATAATTCCTATGACAATTTCTCACTACTAATAGACTCAAAAGGATTTCAAATGAGAATAGAAAATATGTATGAAATTATATACAGAAATACCTGGCTTTCTAGAACAGATTTTTCCCTAAAGTTGATATAACTATTAGTAAATTAAATCATATTCTCCTATTGACTTCTAGTATGTTTAGTGATGATTTGGCTATGTCTCTTTAGCTGAAAGTTATTTACAATGTATATAACTTCTAATCTACTTAATTTTTTTTTTTTTTATCCTCACCTGAGGACATTTTTCCATATTTTGTTCAGATAGAGTGGGAGGGAGAGAGAGAGAGAAACATCGACATGAAAGAGACACATCGAGTGGTTGCCACCCACATGACCTAACCAGGGCCGGGGACAAACTGCAACCAAGGTACATGCCCTTAACGGACACCGAACCCGGGTCTTTCTGGACTGCAGGCCGACGCTCTAACCGCTGAGCCAAACCGGCCAGGGCTGAAAATTTCTCTCCCTCTACTTCTACCAATGCCAGCCTCTTTATCTGTATATAAAGCAGATAAAAATAATTAAATGTACTAGGAAATTCTGCAATTCATTCTAATTCTGTGTCTTAATAAACCTGGCTTATCACACCTACACATGTATAGAACACAGACACATCACAGTACTTAATTTTCCACATTGAGTGTAGATGTCATTTAAAAAAAAAAATCAACTTGATAGCATGGTGGAAAGCACCTTGCTTTGAAAGACAGCAAACAAGGGTGTGAATCTTTGTTCTATCCTATGCTTGCTCTGTAGCCTTTAGTGTCGAAGTGCTATGTATGCTTGCTTCCTCATCTGAAAATGGCTTCAGTTTATAAAAAATTAGTGAAGATAAAGTAAAACTATCTTTGGCCATTAATGATGAACTGTATTCTACAATTTTTATAATATTACTTAAAATCAAGTCAGAAAACATCTTTAATAGTATTTAGTAGATGTCAGGAACTTTTAAAAAATACTCCTAAGTAAAACAGCAATTGCTAACACATAATTTCACCTTTTATATTCACTCAACCATTGAGGAATATATTTTTTTTCCTTTAACGTTTATTCTAAATCAGCCAAAAACTTTAAGTTATAGATTGTCTTTAAACTGAAAGTTAGTAAAATATGCTTTAAACATGTTTAAAATAACTGCCACTTTTTGCCCTGGTCCATTTGGCTCAGAGGTCAGAACATCAGCCCTCGGACCAAAGGGTCAAGGGTTCGATTCTTGGTCGAGGGAATTGGGTTCGAACTCCAGCTCTGGTTGGGATTGGGTCATTCAGGAGACATCCAAACAATGTGTCTCTCTCACATCAATGTTTCTCTCAAGATCTCTCTCTCCCTCCCACTTTATCTAAAAATCAATGGAAAAATATCCTTGGATCAAGATTAAAAAATAATAATAGTAAAATAACTGCTGTTTTTATATACAAAGACATTAAGAATGAAACTCTGTAAAATGTTAGCTGTGTAAAATTTCAAGTGAGGGCCTTCCTGCTGGACCATAATTTTTACCAGTTACCACTCAATGGCCTCCTCAGTGCTAAATGAGGAGTCAAACACACTGATGGCGCCGGACACACTATAGCTGTGCCCCACCATAAGAAATATACTCTACTATGGTGCCCCACCAAACCTGTTTGCATTATTACACTCTTCACCACACATTCCCTTTAAAATAATAGGCTCGCCTGATACACAGAAAAGATGACTCAGATTGAAAATAGCTTCTAGGGAACTTACCTAACAGAATATCCACTCATGACAAACTATCATATCAGGTCAATCCTTGCAGAAAGTAAAATTTACTTGAACTTCCTTTCCTTTTACAGTGGGCAGTGCTGCTTTGGGCTCTGGCATTCAAAACAGAAGGGTTAAACTGACCTCATTCTATTTCAGTGGCTAAATGAGCCCACGACCCATTAGGAAGGCAGGATTCACAGTGTGGAATTAGGCAAAAAATTAGGCACCACAACATGAGGTCTCTCCTATAAGAATCTTTCGAAATTAAATATTTTTGTCAGATCTGATAATATGTGAACATCCATAGGTTTGTTCTGGAGTGTCTGAGACAGTAGAGATGATGCAAGCAGAAATGTGTGTTGTAGGCTAAAACATGCCTGCCTCCATCAACAGTGTACACCAACATGTTTACCACTGATCATGTTCGTAATTACACATGTAAACACACATCCTTGAGTGTAGACATAGACCCTTCCTTACTGTAGCAACATTTAGAGATTCTGATTTAAATAAACTCCCAAGGCTGTGAAAGCAGCCCATCAGAGAAGCAATTCAGTCAGCAGAGTGATTCCTTTAATAAATACTTCAGCCAGCATCTCACGCTCTATTACATTATATGGTAAAAGTCTGGCTTTGGGTCATCTCATTCATCCATTTATATTCCATAGGTGTCATCAGTTTATATTGTAACCAAAGGACCAGAGCCACGACAGTAGTCAGCAAGTGTGTGCTTCTGGAAGATGGATATCCTCCCCTAACCCGAACACAAGCCGCGTTCGTGTTTTGTACACGCCTGTCTTCCTCCAGTAAGGCCCCAGTTTTCCTCTTGGGTGCTTAGTGCCATGCTGCACAGCCTCTCTCTCAGTTTAATCAAAGAAAAGTATAATTACACTAGCAGGACGCTAATTTTGAAAAGACATTATTAGCCAAGCCACAGTCACTTCATTACTGTGCGCTTCGGAGGCCAACGGTGAACACAAGGGATCCTAAGTATTATTTGTTCTTCCAAAGGGAGCAAAAGAACCCGCCTGGTTGATCAGAAAAATCTGCCTGCCCAGCAGGTGCGAATCAAGCGAGGCACTGAGCTTCAGGATGGCCAGTAGCTACTTCTTTCCCTGAAAAATCTGCTGCCTAAAACTTTTCCGAGACCTTACGTGGCCCTCCCGTGTCTGCTGGGTGAGCTGCTCCGGAACCGCCCGGAGGCTCCTGCGAAATGCACCGCCACAGAAGCGCGCCCACATCTGCAGAGGCTTCTGCCTGGTCCGGGCGGAGCTGTCCCTCTTTCTTGGCTCCTTCTGCCGGTCTCTGGCAGCCAGGCACCCTTCCACCGCCTCACTTCGGATCGGGTTTGGGGGCGCTGTTTGGGTCACACAAGCTCGGAAGAAGCCGCTGCACTTCCCCTCCCCCCTCCTACATTTTGCCCACTAGGCATCATTCCAAGAGGGGCCAGCCGCGACATTCCAAAAACCACGGCCATGTTTTACTCGGAACAGACACCATTCAACAACTCCACAAGTCCCCAGGGCTCTGGGAGCTGCAGCCCAGGCCAAACCTCCTCTCCAAAGTGAACCGACATCTGTAACACAGCCCAGCCAAGGCTATATCCTATCATAGCGCAAGGATGCGAGAACAGCTAAGAACCCAGGAAACTAAGAAAGCAGGTGCAACGATCTTTCTAAAGCTAATAATGTTGCCCCTGATAAATAACCTAAAACCCCACCGTCCCAAGAGAAAACCCCAGATTTGTCCCTTTTCAAACCCTCATTTCAAACGCCTCATTTGGGGGACGCAGTCCAGGTTTGGCTCCCGCAGCACTAAGCAAAGTGCCTGGCGGGCGGGTGTCACGCCTGGGTGGAGGGCTGACGTCCCTGCGGTTCTCCAGGAAGCAGACACCGGTGGTGCCCGCTAACTGGGGACCAGCAGAGCCACCTCCCCGCCTCCCGCGCTCGCCGCCCCGACGGGCCCCGGCACTCACCGTCCCTAGTGTCCTCTCCTCGGCTGCAGTTGCTGCAAATGTGTTTGATCTCCTTGCCTAGTTGACAATGGATCACAAAAGACACGTTGTTGTTGTTGGGGGCGGGCTCCTTCAGGGGCTTCATCCTCAGCAAATAAAAGGCTTTCTTTTTGGGTCTCTGGGCGCTCGCGCCTGGCACCGCGCCCTCCCTGCAACGCGGCGAGCGGAGCGTAGACCTCCCCGGCTCCACGGCGCGCGTGGGCTCCGCCATCCGGCCCCTGGACGCCCCGGGCCGGGCGCTGCTCTGGCCCCGGCGCGCTGCCACTCGCGCCCGGCCGCCTGGCCAGCATGCCCCCGCCCCGCCCCGCACCCGCCCCTCTACAGCCTGCGACCGGCGGGGCGGGTCAGGGGAAGGCACCGAAAGGGTCTTGACTTCGCTGCCCCCGCTGCCCCAGCCAATACGAATCCTGCGTCTGGAGGAGGGTTTCCGGAAGGTACTTCGTGGTCCTACCTGAGTCTCACGTGCACATCCTCCCCGGGCAACCCCACCCCGCCGTAAATCTCCGCACCCGCTATTGGAGCCTGCTGGGTTTGCAGCTACCTTCACTCTCTGGAGCTCCAAGGCAGAACGCCAACCTCCCCCTCCCCCTTCTGCCAGCTTCACAAGGCCAAGGAAAGCAGGACGTGCCACGCACGGAAGGCAGCTGCGCTGGGAGCCCTCCTGCAAGCGCCTCTCTTGGCCCAGAACAAATGACCATTCTCTGATGGGTCCAACCCATAGTCCTTGACTCTCAGTGGAACCTGCAACCTGTTACAATATAATTGATGTTTTCACCCTCAACAGAAATTCCCCAGCGTGAAGGGGGCCTTACTCCAGTGTCATTAAAACTTTGAGTAAAAGGGAACAGAAAAGGCTGCTTTTATCTCAAAAATTCAGAAACAATAACCACTTGCAACTTTGGGATCCCGGCTAATCTGGCCGAAGATTCCCAGCCGCTTTAGCATAGTGACTAGGCTTAGCCGGGCAATTACATCAGAGGCTCGATAATAATAACAGCTACATGTTATTGCGCCTTCGTCGTTCTCCTTAAAAAATAAATCACACTATGTCTATACAATAGTCCTGACTCAGGTATTATGAATCCTACATCACCCTTTGGAGACTAAGATTTAGAGAATCCTCATATCACAATCACTTTGGGTGCTTATTTTAAAAATAGAGACTTTGGGGCCCCAAGCCCTCAGATTCTGGTTTAGCAGGTCAGTTTAAGGGCCAGGAATTTGTAGCTTTAACAAGCCCCCCAATGATCTTGATGCAAAACCTAAGTGGAGAAACAGTTGTTTGCAGCCAGGTGTGTCTGACTCTGAGCCTCTGTCTTCCCACCACCCGCTCCCTGGCATCCACAAGCCCTGCCCTCTTCCTGGCCTCCTGAAACAGTGTCAGTTAAAGGATGCACTATCACTACCAGTTGTTTCCAGAAACCTCCCCAAACTTAATTTCATAATACCTTGTGACGGACACTTTCACAAAAGGCAGGGCACTGCTAGTCTTTCCTCCAACTGGGCACATTCTACATGTATTGCTCACCTTACTGGTAACAGGGTCAACAATCCACTGGGGATATTAAATTCTGTTACAATGTGCTCTTAATCGTTCCAATTCTACCATTCTGTCATTTATACTATTTCTCATCTGCAAAATGTTCTGCCCAAATCAGCACATTCAGAGTTTCATTTTCACACTGTAGTGGGGAATGTCAGGTGTCCAGCCACAATAGACTGCTCTAGAAGGACATGTCAGGGACTGAAGTTGAATTCAAGTGTTGGACTTGTGCTCTCTTTAATTAGAACACAACCAAGTCTCCCCTGGTGCCCAGCAGGGCCTTCAGAGACCTTTCCCTTCCTGCCTGGATTACCAGCCAAACCAGCCACAGGTAAATCCCACTGTATTTGCTCATGTCAGATTCATGTTAGTGGTTCCCTGGCTAATTAGTAGCTTTATCTTAGAGATAGCAAAGGACCCATTTGTTATACTGGTGGAGTGTTTAAAGGAATTCATTGCATTGGGTTATAGGCAAACATTTATTATTCTCTTTTTCGAATCCTCAGGTCTCTCCTCCAAACTGTATCATCTCTTAATGCCCTCTGCATTGCATCTTTTCTTAAATGAGTTTTTAAAATTGCAAGCCTTCCTCTCTGTCTTGCACGTCAGAATACTGGGCCTGTATAAACCCCGTAGGGTCATATTGAAACAACTGAGCCTGCAGCAACCTGTTATTCACTCACCGGATACTAAACCAGACCTCAGGGCTCTGGGTGTCTCTATCTTATATGGCCAAGTGGCATTATAGCATAGAAAACACTGACACAACCACCAGCTTAGGCTCGAATATTAAAGGAGCTGCCTCACAATTGTGGGGGTTCTTTATTCATGCTAAGTATGTAAAAAGACTAAGGTTGCGGGTTCAATCCCTGGTCGGGGCACGTATGAAAGGGAACCGATGGTGTTTCTCTCCCACATTAATGTTTCTCTCTCTCTCTCCCTTCTTCTCTGTAAACATATCCTCAGATGAGGATTTAAAGAAAAACAAAGCTAAGGTGTACCTTCAGAGGTGATCCAGCTTCCCAAACTGTCTTCCCTGAGTTTACAGCTTTTTCTGTGTAACTGTGTGTCCAATATAATATTCACTTGCCACATGTAGCTGTTTACGCTTAAATGAATTAAATTATATTTCAGTTCCTCAGTTGCTCCAGCCATGGTTCCAGTGCCCATAGTCACATGTATCACGTGGCTACTGCATTAGACAGGGTAGATGGTAGAACATTTCCGTCGTTGCTGACCATGCTGCTCTTGCAAAGTGTTTGAATTTGAGTGTCTTGGGCTGACTTCAGAAGCTGAGAAGCTTTCTCTCCTGTTGTTACAACAGCAGGTGGATGGCGAGGGGACCCATAGTGCTGGCACCACCTTGGAAGATGGTGGCTCCCAGCAACACCTTCCTCTGACCCTCAGCAGGCAGCAGGCCTGATGTGCACACAAATCTGGCATTTTTCTTTTGACCCTTCTCTGTATACCCTGGACATTACCTCACTGAAGATTTATTTTGATACCCATTGCTATCATGTCCCTATAGCTCTCAATGCAAGAGATGTCTTACACAGAGTCTGTGTTTGTCTCATCCTGTAAGACAAACTATAAAACTGTATTTAATTATGATCTCAGTATTATAATTCAGAAAAAAGAATATTGTGGGATTTGGGGATCCAAATTGGAAAGGAGGAAGTGAAACTGTCATTATTTGCAGATGACATGATATTATACATAGAAAACCCTAAAGACTCCATCAAAAATCTACTAGACTTAATAAATGCATTTGGCAAAGTAGCAGGATACTAAATTAACATCAAGAAATCGACGGCATTCTTATATACCAATGATGAACTCACAGAAAAAGAAACTGAAAAAACAATTCCATTTACCATCGTGGCAAAAAAATTAAGATACCTAGGAATAAACTTAATCAAAGAAGTAAAGGACCTATTTGCAGAATACTATAGGACATTGAAAAAAGAAATAGAGGAAGATATAAAAAAGTGGAAGCACATACCTTGTTCATGGATTCGAAGAATTAACATCATTAAAATGTCCATGCTACCCAAAGCAATCTATACATTCAATGCAATCCCCATCAAAATACCAATGACATATTTCACAGAACTAGAACAAATACTTCAAAAGTTCATATGGAACCAAAAAAGTCCCTGTATAGCCACAGCAATCTTGAAAAAGAAGGACAAAGTAGGTGGGATCACAATATCAGATATCAGGTTATACTACAAAGCGACAGTAATCAAAACAGCCTGGTACTGGCACAAGAACAGGCATATAGACCAGTGGAACAGAACTGAGAACCCAGAAATGAACCCAAGGCAATACGCTCAATTAATATTTGACAAAGGTGGCAAGAGCATACAGTGGAGTAAAGACAGCCTCTTTAATAAATGGTGTTGGGAAAATTGGACAGCTACATGCAAAAAAATGAAATTAGACCATCAACTTACACCATACACAAAAAATAAACTCAAGATGGATAAAAGACTTAAATGTGACCTGTGAATCCATAAAAATTCTAGAAGAAAATGTAGGCATCAAAATTTTGGGCATCATACACAACAGAATTTTCACGGATACATCACCTAAGGCAACAGAAACAAAGGAAAAAATGAACACATGGGACTACATCAAACTAAAAAGCTTCTGCACAGCAAAAGAAACAACCATCAAAATGGAAAGGCAACCCACTGTATGGGAGAACATCATTACCAATGATACATCAGATAAGAGGTTAATTTCCAATATATATAGAGTACTCATACAACTCAACAGAAGGAAGACAAAGAACCCAATTAAAAAATGGGCAGAGGAGCTGAATAGACACCTCTCCAAACAGGACATACAAATGGCCAAGAGACATATAAAGAAATGGTCAACATCACTAGTCATCAGAGAGATGCAAATTAAAACAACAATGAGGTATCACCTCACACCTGTCAGAATGGCCGCCATCAACAAATCATCAAACAACAAGTGTTGGTGAGGGTGTGGAGAAAAGGGGACTCTAGTACACTGCTGGTGGGAATGCAGACTGGTGCAGCCACTGTGGAAAACAATATGATGTTACCTCAAAAAATTAAAAATTGAACTTCCATTTTTTCCACTTTTAAAAGGAAGTAGGTAAATATTGAAAGGAAGGACCGTCCCAAACTTCCTATCACTTATAACAGGGTCTCAACACTGGGCCTAGGGAGCTTGCATGGGATTTTTACCCAGATGAACTAAGTGGGAAAGAGTCCCCTGTGGGCCCTTTTAGTGTCACTTAGCTGCATGGCAATTTCATTCCCATCCCTTCTTCACACTTAACTTGTAGGATCCCTCCTTGAAACTGTTGGGGCCCTTAGACCCTGCTACGCCAAGTGTAACTCCGTAGACTGGGAGCTCCGTGGGAGCCTGGGAGAAATGCAGCATTTCAAACTACTCCAGAATCTGCATTCTAACAAGACCGCTGGGTGATTTAGGGCACATTAGCTTTGAGAAGTACCCCTAGCAATCGGAGCAATCCTAGTATTATGTGCTTACCAGTGGAACACACATTTTGGTTCTGAAGTAAATAATGAATTGGACCCCTGGTCATAGAACTTAAAATATAAGAGACGATCCGCTCAATGAAAGGACATACAAGAATAACCAAACACACCCAGCTGAGAATATGTGTG